GCTGTTTGTTGTTTGTTGCTTGTTGTTTGTTGTTTGTTGTTTGTTGTTTGTTGGTTGTTGGTTGTTGGTTGTTGGTTGTTGGTTGTTGGTTGTTGGTTGTTGGTTGTTGGTCGTTGGTTGTTGGTTGTGGGTTGTGGGTTGTGGTTGTGGTTGTGGTTGTGGTTGTTGTTGTTGTTGTTGTTGTTGTTGTTGTTGTTGTTGTTGCTGATGCTGCTGGTGCTGGTGTTGGTGTTGGTGTTGGTGTTGTTTTGTGTACAGTAATCATGGTCGCCGCTGTTATGGGTTGTGGGTGGTTGCTTGTCAGTTGTTGGTTGTAGTTGTTGGTGTACGTCGTCATTGTTGTTGGTGTACGTCGTTATTGTTGTTGATCTTGTGTGTGTGTTCTTGTTATTCTTATTGTTTGTTGTTTGTTTGTTTGTTTGTTGTGTTTTCCTTGTGGTTGTCGTGTTTGACGCTTTTGTCGCTGTCCCGGCCCTTTCCAGGAGCCAGAGGTGGAGATCGAGAGTGAGCCTGCGGAGTGCGGCTGCATCTAGTTGTCCGAGATGCCTTTGGTTACTTCGGTCGGTAGGTTTATAAGTTTAAAATATACACCAAGACTATAACAGGGGTAATTTGCGTTTATGGGCCAACAACCATGGCTATGCTCTAGTTACTTACTGAGTGGCATGGACACATCCAAACAATGGCCATGGCTGCTGAAGATTTAATGTCTTTGGGCGGCGCCTTAGGCACATAGAAGGTGGCTTTCACCTTTGCCCCAAGGGCTGGTGAGCCGCAGGTTTGAGGTTTTGAGCCGAAGGGCTCAGTACCTTACCTTGCACACTGAATGAAGCGAGTTGCGTTTTGCTCTGATGCTTTGCCGCGCTAGATTGCAGTTGCTCCCGCCAAGTGAACATGGGGCCCACCTTTTTTGAAGAACATAGTGATCCCAGAGCTTCCCAGCCAGGTCCCATGTTACAAAGTTGGTGGGAGAGTAACTGCTGCGAGCCAGCTGCTCCCTTGCCCAAGGGTCGACATGTTTGAGATCTTTTGGAGCCACTTTGATCTGTCAGTGCAGTGCATCCCGGGCGCCTTAGAATCATTTTTTCCTGTGGGTCAATTCATACTGGGCAATTATTTCTCTACCGGGGTCACTGGGCAATTGGGAAGGTTCTTGGGCAGCGCAAGTTCGCGCGAAGCCTCGAAGAGGCTTTGAGCTTTGTGCTTGGCCGGGGGGCTTGGACTGTGGGTGGCAAGACTGCGGGCAAGCAAAAGTGCCGGCGCTCCTTCGCCCTTTCTTGGGGCTGGCTTCCACGCGCGAAAGGCGCACGCGATGCCTACACAAAGTTGCCCGATGCATGCTGGAACTGCCTTTTTTACTAGGTCTCCCAGTAGTGCTCTTTTACCCCCCTACTAAAATAGACTACAGAAAAAAAAAAGCGGTACCCTTATTCTAACCTCTCTGCTGGAGGACCTTGTGTTGGTTCCATTGAAGTGGACCAGGGCTGGCCCCTAGCTGAGCCCAGGAACCTCCGAGTCAGAGGGCAAGCCCGAAGAGTTTGGTCGCTTTCAGCATGGCCCCGATGGAACTTGGCATGTGCAAATGCAGCTGGCCCGCGAAATGGATTTGTTTCTTTTGACTCTTAAACGCAGTCCAGAAGTGGGATGTCCAAATGTCCATTCCCACATGCCTGCCGTGATTTTCACTCATAAGTTCTAGTTGGTAAATAGGCTGCATTTGTTCAATTTGTCCAAAAGGAAGCCATAAAGTGCTGGGTATTTCGACTTTAGAGACACCGTTTTGGGTGGTTTTATTGCACATGTGGGGCTGAACCCTTTTTTTTGGCCAGGAGACACTGTTGACGGCAACAGTGTTGAAGGACAAGAGTCCTAGGATGAAGACAGCCCTTCAAACTGCTTTCAGGGTTCCTCCAATTGCTTAAGAATATATGTTTTATTTTCCCCTGTTGGCTTTAAAGGGAATCTATTACTATTTGATATATTTTGTTTTTTTTACTGGGGGCGAAAAAGCAACTGGAGGGATGGTTCGTCCATCGCTCATTATCTTCGGCCTTCGGGAGTTCCTCCCCGCCCGTGGGTGAAACGGTTGCCGCTCTTTGGCACTTCGTTTGCAAACCCAAATGGCCCTGGGTCAAAATCCAAATCGTACCCCAAGTGAACATCCCACTCCCCATTAAAATAGACTAAAAGGGGTGGAACACCTATCCCAAAGTGGGATCCCATTTGTTTTGACCCACAGCCAAACGGCGTCTAAAGGATTCCGCGGCTTTCGCCAGCACATTGCTAGGGGAGATGGCGCGACGCAATACCCAGAGTTTTGCATGACAATTGAGGTTTCTGTCCCCTGGAAAAAAGTTAAAACTGTTTGATGGTTAGTCAAAGGTAAATGATCCAAACAAATAGCAGGCATGTCTACCAAGGGGCCCTGATGACTTCATGACTTGGGGATCATACTCGGGCTTGAAGCATCGAGGCTCAAGTGGTGTTCAGTTGGGGGTGGCGAAAGTTCAAAGAAGAATATGGGAAACCCTTTTCAAAGGATGATCAAATGAGCAGGGTATGGCGATTTCACAAACCAACAAGAGCAAATACCATGTTTTCAAGCACTCGCCGGTTAGGATTACTTTGGTTGTAACCCGCAGGAAGAAGTTCCCAACGAAAATGAAAGGTCACAACCCCACTTCGGCCCGAACAACGAGTTCCATTGGGGCGGGTCGCCCGCCTTGGCCCCTTTTGGCTGATCGCGGCCTAGCGCGTGTCGATTCTCGAATCGCCTTGGCTCGCAGCGAGCATGGCGTAGCCGGGGGTGGATCTCATTTGGAGAAGGCGCTGGCACCACAAACCCAGGCCCAGAGTGAGTTGATGCTGAAACCATGGCTGACATCAACATCAAAGGAAAGGAACAACCTCAGATTTCCGCGAAGGGTAGAGTTTAGCCCCACAGATTTGCACACTCGGCAAATCCCTCGCTTTGGGCGAAGACTTCGCCAGTGCTTCTCTCGCGGACGCGGGGTTTCTCTCGGGTCGCCATGGGCTCCGGCGCCAGTAAGAAGCCGGCGGCGGCGCCCGCGCCGGCGTCGCCTTCGACCAGCAGCAGCGACGCCACCATTGTAGTGGCTTGGACGACTGAGCCAGGGGCAAGCCGCAAATGAGGGTTGCTATTGGGTTGGATCTTTAGACTTTTATTTTTTAGGAGGTGTTTTAGACTAAACCCCAAAAATGACTCTTTGCGGGGGGGTCAACAGCAACCAAGCAAATGAGAGTTGCGTGACGAGAGTTGCCTTCTTGAGGAATCCTCTTTTTTGTGCTGTGATTTGTTTGTTGGGAAAGGGGAGGAGCGTTGGATTCCCAGGTTTCTTGGTTGTTGTTGGATGCGGTTGGTTTTACAAGGCGATTGTTAAACAAGCAGAACTTCTCTCACTTCCCGCGTGTCTGTATTTAGTCACGTTTTAGGAAACAAAGCAACAGTTTAGGCTTGTTTGGGCCAATCTACTCAGGTGAGTTGATGACCAAACCGAAAGCAAGCCGCAGATGGGTCGACTCTTGCAAATGCATGAGCAGACCCACAAGTCCAGGATTCCGGAAGTTCTACTTCCCCATTTTTTCCAGGGATCCTTCTTCTAGCAGTCCGCAAAACAAGTGGTTCGAAACGACAGTTGAAAATAACGATTGTTAAAGGAATCAACCCCTAGAATTGGTGTGACTTTCTTGGATGTACCTCCTTCCACATGTCTAGCCGTGTGCCGCTCGGATCTTCGCTGGCATAGTCACTGGCAATGCGATGGGTCCCATGGGCAGAAGGATAGAAGGGAGACAACCCAGTTTCCCTACGAAAACCTTAAAGGTCATGTGGTGCAAGTGAGTGAATGCAATTTTCTTCCTGAAGTCTGCAGCCCATCTAGCGGTGCCTCCTTTTGCACGGGTGTGTTTGGAAACCACAAGTCTCCCGACCAAACGGGGGCCTTCAAAGTCAGCCTGCGTACCTACAAGAGGTGAGAGCCTCGCTCGGAAGGCGACTAGAGATCAGTCGCTTCGAAACCATTGACCTGGAGGGAGGGTTCGGAGAGAACCCGAAACCAACCCCCCTAAGCAGCTCTTAAATGGCTAGATCATGCCGGAAGGCAGGCCTTTCGTGGTTTGAGCTTTGAGGCCCGGGAGGCAGGCCCCTGTCCAATGGAGTCAGACTTAGGTGCTTGGATTGCCCACTTACAGTAGGTCAAACTCCACAGGGGCTCTTAAGCAAAACGTGATTCGGCCGAAGTCCAAAATAGACTTGTCTCATTTCTCACTAAGTTGCTGAGCGTCACACAAAGCTCAGCACACTGCCCGAAGCGTCGCTCCTTTGAGCCTCTTTTCGGCCCTTGGCTGGTAAGTGTCCAGTGGCCCCAAAAGGTTACCCAGTTGTTCAGATGTTGTGAGGTGGCTCTATCCGCCTGGGTGCCTGGCCCAGCTAGTGAAGCCGGGTATCCTCGGCTTTAGTTGGTAGATGTCACAACTCCCCCATGGGGCCTGTAGATTGGCCCCCTGGACTTAGCCAGGGACATGTGCCATCTAATGCAAGGGGCTGAATACTTACTAACATGGTTTTCCGATCATGACTGTTTTCTTTTCTTTTTTTTCATGGTAACCCAACCCCCCATTCTAAGTATGTAGCTGGACCCTCATATTCCCTTACATGGCTAATTGCCCCAGCATTATGGGGTGAAATCCAATTTTTTGGGGTAGTTTGAGGGTTCAGGTAGCCCCTTCTGCTACCAACTGATACCTTGGCCGAGTTTCTTCGTCGCCAGGCTCCGACACCCAAGAAGGTGACAGTATCAGAGCCGCCGAAGAGCAGCGTGGCTTCTGCCCCTGAGACGAACAACGGGGTGCCCGAGTACTGGCGGCTTGGCGGGTGCTTTGTGATGTTTAGGGGGGAGATAAAGGGAGCCCTGAGACAATTCTGTATGTAACCCTGCGGTTCCCCCGGCTACAGCATTGCTTGCAGGTCAGTTTCGATGTTGCCAACGCAGTGCTGATTCAGTGGCCTCCATTGCCCACTTTGCAACATCCAAGACTTATGTGCGGCAGCAGAATCACCATTGAACACCCAGGGCTTTGCCCCAGCCTGCCCAAATTTGAAACCACTCGTTGGTGGGAGGAGGGGCAGAGCCACTGTTACCAAGTTTGTTCAATCAAGCTGACGTGTTTGTGTGTGTGTGTGTCCGTGTTTGTGTTTGTGTTTGTGTCTGTTTCTGTATCTGTGTCTGTGTTTGTGTCTGTCTTGAGGAATCCCCAAAATGGCGCCGGTGTTCCCTTTGGTTTCCCTTTGAAACCTTCCAGCAAGGGTACCAACTCCAAAAGAAACACTTTACTCTCGCGCTGAGGTATCACAACAAGACTCCAGACTCCTTAAGCTTCGATGACATGTGACTTGGCAAGGGCGGGCTTGCCCTTCACCTTCCGTGAAAGGAAGCAAACATCAAGGAGCGGTAAGCACTGATAACCACATATAAAGTTTTAAGTTCCCGCCAACCCGCATGACCCGGTCTTGAGATATGCTCTTAAAGTGAACATTTTGAGGGGTTCTCAAAGTTACTTCTTGGGGTTATTTTTGAGGATGTCACTTTAAGAGAATCGTGTTGAGCCAACCCAGCGCACACTCCAAGTACAATCGATGACAACCTGCCTCTCAAGCTAACGAAGTGAGGTCCAACATTGCCCCAACTATTGCATGCCGGTTCTTTTCCTGCAGGCCCTCTTTTAAAACTTCGAGCTTTTTGAACTGGTACCCCCGTACCTCCCAAGAAAGGGATCTTGCCCCATTTGCCTTTCTGGTCTGGGAAAGTAATGTACAGAAGGGGGGCAATCCTTTTCCCACGGTCCATCTTCCTTGAGGGTAGCCTGGGGTTGGTTGGTTTCGGGGGCCCAAAGGACAGCACTGGCTGGGATGTTTTAAGACACCCCCATGTGGGGATCAAGGTGACGCTGCTTATGGGAAGCGAAGGTTTTCCCGAAGGATCTCGCGGCCCTGGTTTTGGCCGATTGCGGAAAGCTTGCGGGCAGTGGACGTTTGGGGAGATGTTGGAAGCCTGCCAGCTTCCATGTTGCACCCTCAACTAGCCTTGCTTCCTTTGGGGGCTTCATTTGCCCTAAGCCAGAGAAATAACTGGGTATGGGTCAAAAGTAGACCAGGGGCACCGGTGATAGTCCATGTTTCCGTGTTTTTTTGGGGTACCTATTTTTCACAGTCCATGGACGTTTTGGCAGGGCCAACGCCTGGCCACGGGCTTCTGGTACTCCTGATGTACAGCCTGTCTCTCTGGTCAGGTTTTACCAGCCAGAGGATGTGCATGGCGCCTTCGATGGCATGTTTAGGGACTCCTATGCGGCTTGGCTTGAAAGCGACGAAAAGGGATGCGTTTTGGGGTCCTACCGCGAATGGTTGCAAAATCCATTCCGAACCGCCGAAGAAACTCTGGAATGACTTGATTCCCCTGGAAATACCAAGAAATCATGGTTTCAACCATGGTTTCTTGGGTGGTGCGAAATGGATGTCGTCCATCCAACATATTACGGTGTGTTGGGGCTCTTCTGGGGAGAGGACCCAAAACCAAAGTAGTCATGTTTCGTAAGGTTTGTGTTTTACATGTAGGTCAACGTTTGTTAGTCAAGGGACCCTCCAATAATTGATCAGCTGGCTTCCAATAACTGGGATCCACTGGCTGCCTGCCGGCTGGACTGTGTAGGCTTTCCAGGCAGGGACGGCAGGAGCACAGCAAGTTTCACAACGTCTTAGACAGAACCCCGTACCCTTTAAAAACTAGCAAGAAGATGCTGGTTCCCCCTTTAATTGTGGTAACTGAGGTCCAGCATTGGGTAAGGTTCTGGGTTGTGATGGTAAAGGGCACCACCCCCCAAAAAGTCCTTCAGCACTTTCGCTTTTTGGGACCCTGGGGTTGAACTCCCCTTAAAAGACTGGCAAAGACCCAATCTAGATCAAGCTCCGCTGAAGTGGTGCACCCAGCCGAACCCCGAGGACCCAACTTAGATGATGAAGCTGCTCTAAATGAGTAAATGATAGGATGCTTGAGGGAGGGAGCGAGAGAGACAGAAATAATCAAGAAAGAAATAGCAGAAATAAAGACAAGAAAACAAAGAAAGAAACAAAGAAAGAAAGAAAGGAAGGAAGGAAGGAACAAAAGGGAAGAACAAAAAAAGAGAGAGATAACGAAAGCGGGAGAGAGATAAATAGGTCTATTTCTATGATATCTATTTATATATACAAACCATTGGCTTAATGGCGGTAGCTGAGCCAACCAGGGGCTGAGTTTTGCTTTCTCGTTCCGTGCTTCGAGGTTGCCAGCGCCACCCGTGACCGGCCCTGCCCCAGCGGGGAGCACAGCAAGACCCCGGGGGGCTGCCCCTGCGTCCAGCGCCTTCTCTCCAGCGAGTCGACCGGATCCGCCGACTTTTCCTCCGTTTCCTTTTTGGGGACCGCCAAGAGTGGCAGTTTCAAGGGACGCCACCAGTGAATTGGTCAACTTTTGGCGGGGAACATCCAGTGACCCCTGATATAATCTTCCATTTGCTGAAATGATTACTTTCCCAATTTGTTGGGTTCCCATTTTTGTGGCCCCAACATATTTCTGGGTCCCTGAGGGGCAACTCAGAGATAGTTCCTACTTAGGCACCCCCAAAAGCAGACTCACTTGAAATTGGCCTTTCAAATAGAAATGATTCAAATGATGTTCTAGAAATGTTGTACTCGGTACCTGTTTTTGGTGTTTGCGTTGCAAAGGGAAACCAGAAGCTCCCGCCCGATGCATCGGATTCCATGACCTCAGGAGGCCCCTAAAAAGGGCTTTGGGGCTGGTTAAAACATCACTGCGCTGTTGGCATATTGGTTCTTTCCCCCGGGTTTGTGGGTTCCTTGGTTATCTTCATTTTTAGTGGGTTTTGCTTTTTTGTTTTCCCCTGGTTCTCTTCATCTTTTGTGGGCTGCAAAAAGAGTCAGTGTTCTTTGCTACCATGCCAAGGATTGGGTCTAGATCACCCGATCCAAAGCCGGTGGGTTGTGGAATCCCTCCTACTAGTCGTTTCACAATAAAGCCATGTCAAACAGGAAAGCCGTTCGGCCATTGGGGGCGGCCTAACATACAACACCTAAACAAACACCAGGCCCTGTTGTCCAAAAGCAAAGCCAAACGGTCGCGTCTTGGCCCAACCCCTGGCACTACAAGTCAGATTCCAGATTCTGCTTGCTGACTTAGAATTAACGTATGACACCCTCAAACTCGCAAACATAGATTGCATTTTTGGACTCACAGAAATGAGATGCTACTGATGAACTCCACCTGGCTCCAGTTGGGCGGTTTGGCCCAGTCCTCGGGTGTCATGCATTTCAACTGGCGCAGGAGTTCATCCACAGTGCCCATCAAGTCGCCTACCTTAAGAATGTTTCTGCAACGGATGAAGCTGACCCCATATTAGTCAACCCCTGTTTATTGATACGGGTGTGTCCTAGGTTTTAGTAAGGAATTATCAGTGTTGGAGGGGAACACCCCCATATGAATAAACAAGGGCTTATTCATCTGGGTCAACATTAATCAGAGAACCACCTCGACCTTCCATCCAATTTCCTTGGACATTTGAGGTGGGTTGCTTCCGTGTGTGAATCGATTCCCAGGGAGCCAGCATCATCTGCTTGTGAATCGCAGGTGGTAGCGAGCACACCGCAGCACACCTGAAATGCAACGAGGTCACCCTTGCTTCTGGCTTTTGAAAGGTAAGTTGCCCGGAAGTCTGAGTTAGTTGTAGTTTCCATTTCACCCACTAAAAGTTGTCCACTTTTAGCGGGGGATCTGAAAACGGGCAGCCCAGAAACATAAGGATACAGAGCCTACGAGTGTCAACCACAGCTAAAGGCCCGGCGCAGACCCCGGGCTGCCGGTGGCCTTCCGCGTGCGCCGGGTGATCCGAGTCGAGGCTCGCGGGCTCTCGCCTCGCCGCGAAGATCGGGGGCTGGGATGGGAGAGTCCAGAGCCGTTGACTCAAGTCCTGAGTTCATGGATGGACATGTTTGGGGGGAAAGCATGGGAGAAGAAATGGACAGTAAAGCAAAGACTTTGTTGACTGTTTCTTTGGCCGATCCACCAAAAAAAAGAGAAAGTGTGTTGAGCATTCCAGATTCAACCACCACCTTTCCATCCGTCACATGATTCAGAGCCACTTCACGGGAGCAAAAAGAGCTAGAGCTCCCACCACCTTGGTCCTGGGTATTTGGCGAGGCCACTTTCCATGATAGGGAGCCCCCCTGAAGGCACCGAATGACAAAATCGGTATCACAGCGAGGCGTCATGATGCCAAATGCCGCAGTTCGCTTTCCGCGGGACCCACAAGCCGGAGGCCGGCCCTGTTAAACCAACCTAACACCCTGAAAAGGGTACCTCAAAAACCCACAAGCCCGTGTCTCTTTTGCCAGGCCGCGGACATGTGGCGAAGACTTTTGGCGGCAGGGAGAGGGATGTCAAGGAGATCGGGGCCGGAATCCAACAGACATCTGTTTCTAAAGGGAAACATGTGTTTGAATTCTTCTACTGCTTCGTGTGTTGGTGACTTCCCACGGTTCCAAGGGGAAAGTTCATGCGGGACCCCAGCAGTTTCAAAGAAGCCGGTGTGTTCGTCTGGGCGCTGCAGAGACTTGATTTCTCATTTCTTCAAAAGACATGGGAATGGTAAGGGTCATGCCAGACCCCATGTTTAACAACTATAGAAAAGTATGTTGGAAGGTTCCGCTACACCCCAGATCACGTGGATTCACCTTTGGCAGCTTGTGGCAATCGGCCTTTTTGGCCGATTTCCCGAAAAGCTCGGCTTGTTCTCAACGCACAACTTGGATGTCGAGAAATCCATGTTGCTTTCCTGGCAGGGAAAACAAAATTGTCATGCTTCCCTCTGCATTGGAAGTCCACGGAACTGCGGCCGACAGGCTGAAGCAAGGTGTCCGGAGGGTTCCAGAAGTCAGAGACCTCCCACTGCTCCAACCCCCCCAACCTTTAGAGCCGGTTATTTCCCGCTGAAGCTGATTTCAGCCCCCTAGGCCCGAAGAAATGGTTAAAGAGGAAGAAGGGAACTTTCCTTTGAAACCCTTGCCTTTTTCGGGATAGGGTGCCAAAATATACTTCTGGTGAAGCTTGCAAGGGGTGCTAAGCATTTAGCCAACCCCCAGGACGTCTAAGTAGCAAAGCTAGCATTGGACCAAATAAGGGTCCATCCTCCCCCCTAAAAAAGCAAGGCACAGCATGCAAGCAAGAAGAAAAACCGAAATCCCCCCCTCCAAATGTTAAGGACGTCTTGGTTTTCGATCGCTTAGTTTTTTTTTTTTTGGGGGGGGGGGGGACGGGGCGGGGTCAGCCAAACGTTAGGCTACGTGCGCAAGCGCGACGAGATACGGAACCGGCGGTCTGGTGACATCAACTCCTTCGATGAGCCGGTGAAGACCATGGCGGCGGCGACGGCGGAGAGCAACAAGAGCGACTCAACACGAACCATTCCTAGGTTTTCCAGTAATGCCCGTTCTCCAGACTTTTCTTGGGGGAGGGTTCCCCTACTGAAATAGACAACAGAAAGAAGGGTGGTACCCTTGTTCTCACCTCTCTACTGGAGGACCTAGATTTGTTTCAAGAATATGTTTTGTGTTTCCTGGCTCCCGGTGCTCCATCCGGACGAGGGATGATTGTTTTTGTTTGTGCTTGGCTTCCATGTGCTAAAAGAACCTGTGTTTTTTATGTTCCCCTGTTGGGTTTTAATGGGATTTGATCTCACTGCTGGACATATGTTTGGTTTTTCCAGGGGACTTAAGCAACCGGAGAGACAGGAGTCAGTATTTTGAGTGGTAGGATTTCAAACATATGGGGGGTTGTTAACCTTTAGGCCGCGACTTTGATCATTGCATGGATTTGGTTTGGTGACTTTGACTATAGGTCCCCCTGCTAGGTGCCCTTTCACGCCCTTTTTTGGGGGAGGGTATCCCTACCAGAATAGGCTGCAGAACAACGGGTACCAACTTATTCCAACCTCTCTACTGGAGGGGATCTCGAAGGGCCCAGTCTCCATTTGCTGTCTTCTCTTTTGTGTTGCACGTTTCGTTTTGGGGCTTCCCTTTTGTGGCCTTTGGCTTGCTGATTCTCAGGGAATCATCTGAGGGGTTCTGGGAAGCCGGAAAGGTACGGAAGCCACAAGGGATGCTTAGTAGTCACAAGTTGCACTTAGTCCTATTGGTCCAATTTCCCACAAACCAAAGTCGCCCAAAGCGGGTTCCATGTTCCACACTTCAGTGTTTCGGGGGTGTTAACAGGGAACCAGACTGAGGATCTCCCAAATGCGGACGTTATGAAGAAAGCTTCGGACAGAATTATTCTAAGGGGATCTGAGGGGTTCGGAGAAGCATTTTGATGGTCTCCTTGGCCATTGGGCCGGCCGAGCTCGCGGGCAACGGTCACTGGAAACCTTTGGTGTGTGAATTGGAGAAATTTGCCCTCAGTCCCATAGCCCTTCAGATTAACTCATTTCTCCATGCAGACGTTTAAATCAGGTAACCCGTAATGTTTTGGATTGGTGGTTTGGTGTTGTAGAGGGTAACTTGGAAACCGCCTCCAGCCTTCAAACCACCAATCCAGACCACCAATTGGTGGGATGAAGACCACTTGAAAGAGCCACAGCCACTTGCCATCTTGGCGACTTGCGGTCAGTAGGACAAACAGGGCTGCAGGTTTCATGGAGTTCTTTCCAGGGATCCCCAGGGAAACGGCCGGTTTTCGAAAAGATCCATGGTTGGAAAGAATGGGGAATCAACCCTTGGAGGAGTGTCCCTTATTGCAGGTGACTTGTGATAATCCGGCCTAGCCGAATGGTAACATTGACCTCGGATTCTGCCACCTGGCGGATCACCTGTCCTATCTTCCCGCCTGCCCTCTCCCAACCAGAACAAATAGATAAAACAAAGGCCCTCCCCCCGCCCCAAAAAAGAAACAACCAACAACTACACCCCCACCCTCGTTTCTTGGGGCTGGGTAGGTATATTCGCACCGCTGGACAGCAGCGTGAACGAAGTCTACGCCTTCCACGGCACCTTTGTGCGCTACGCGCTCTCCATCGCAGAAAACGAGCCCTGGTCATGGTGCTGGATGGCCACCTATCACATAGCGAGTGATGAATGCCCCTGGTGAGTAAGTGGTCTGCGTGACTAGTTTAGGGGTTGTTTCTCCATTCTTTTCAGCCATCGTTCTTTTCAAAAACCAGCCATTCCCCAGGGTTTTTGGTGGTTTTCTGGAGAAGGATCCCTGGAAAGAATGGGGAAGTTACCTAGGGCGAAGTGAACGTCTCTCTTAATTAAGGCACTTATGCAGTGGGGGCGTGCACCACTTGCAAACGAGGTGGTCACCCATGGTGCCGGCATCCCAACAACTCAGAGGCATTCTAATGCGCACTCCTTCGGGCCTGGCTTAGGCAGCTGAAAG